GGTGGGGGCTTTCGGGGGTCTCCAGAGCCCATAGGGCAGGCCATGCTATGGCAAAGGAGAGCATAGGCCCGAGGAGCCAGATTCTCAGTCCCTGGGCTCTGGCCTACACTCCCCTGGGTTCCATCCATTAGCAGATCAATGCCCAAGATGGTGCCATGCTCATCTGTCACCAGCAAAAGGCAGGAGAGGTGCAGGGGAGCAGCCTCTGGAGAAAGAAGGAAAATTTGGGTGAGAGAGACGGGCAGATAGTCATAGTCAGATATACCAAGTTTAGATGTCTTGGGGGGGGGCAGACAACTTCAATGAGTAGAAGGACTAAATAAAAGAGGGAGTCCCCATCTAAAGGGGGCATCTGCTATACGGGACCAGAATGTAAGAAACATAGACACCTTATCAAAATCTGAACTTTTCTGTCTTTAGGTTTATTTTTATTTTATGCCTATGGGTACTTTCTCCACAAGTATGTATGTACATCGCATGCATGCAGTGCCTGCAGAGGGCAGAAGCGGGTGTTGGATCCCCTTGGAAAGGGAGTTACAGGTGGTCATGAGCCACCATGTGGGTGCTGGGGATTGAACCTGGAACCTCTGGAAGAGCAGTCAATGCTCCTAACCTCTGAGCCATCTCTCCAGCCCTGGTTTTTCTTAAGATGCAAGGCCTCTGGACTTTCATTCTTTACAGTGCTTAGATGTTGATTCAAATTAAAAAACAAAGTCACATTGTGGCAACATATTTTGTGACTCCTAATTGGGTTTGAGTGACATGAGAGGAATTCAGAAAGGTGTCTGGACAGGGGATAGGGCAGGGCCACCCTGGGTTCTCACCACTCCTCCGTCCTTTCCTCTTTTCAGGAGCTCTCTCATCCTCTCCTCTGTCTTCTCGGCAGCCATCCTCACAGCTTGCCTCTTGCTGGGTCACCTCTGGGGCGGCTGGTGGCTTTGCTTCTTGGGGTAATTCCCTGCTTGGAGGGGCTGGCTCCCCACCCTCCTGTGGTTCTGCCTTCTCAGTGCCTGAGCTCTCCTTTCCATTCTCTTGTTCATCTTCTTCCTCCTCCCCTTCCTCCCCATCCTCTAGGCTGACAAAACTGACGTAAGGACTCAGGTCTCTAAGGTGGAGTGGAGGCTCATCTCCCAAGAGCCGGGAAGCCCCCAGGCCTGGCCCAGGACCTGGCTCAGCACCTTGCCCCAGGCTGATGCCCACACTACGGTTTGGTAAGACGTGGAGCACCCAGAGGGCAGGGTCTTGGGGCAGCCTCCTTATCTGAGCCTCCAGTTGACGCCATCGGCCCTCAAGGTTGGTTCCCATGGTCCCCTTTTCTGTCACGAACTTGCGGAACCAGCCAAAGAGAAGGGCAGCGAAATCAAGGAACTCGTCCCGGTATCCAGACACAAACTCCATGTCTTCAGATGCACAGGGAGGGCCTGGACCCAGACTGAGCAGAAAGGGATGTATGTATGGTAACGGTCAGGTTTGGGCCGAGTCACAAAAGGGAGAAGGGGGGTGGGCTTCAGGTCAATCTATAGAGGAATCTCAGGAGCTCAGAACAGGATTTGCAGGGATAACGATGGAGGGAGGCTAGATTGGAAAGCGGATATTTAAAGGTGAGTGACGAAATCATAGCTGAGATACAAAACTCAGATCCTAAAGTGGGATTTGAATTAAGGGAAGACACAGGGTAAAGTTAATCCTATGGGGAAAGGTTTGCTAAGAAGGGAAAGTTTTGGGGGTCTGTTGGTCTGTGGGAATAGAAGTTAGAGTTAAGAACTGAGGCATCTCTTGATTGAGGATCAGTTTGGTGTGAGCCCCAATAAGCCCACCCTCTTTCTGGCCGCTCCTCTCCTCAGCTCCCTGCAGCCGCCACCACTTTTCGAAGG